CATCCGGATTTGGGGATTTATCTACTTTTAAGCCCGTCAAACTGCTGAAGAATCTCACAGTCTGTCTCCTGAATTCTGTACCTACATCCTCCTCCTCCCAAATGAATGCAGACAGGAAGTACTTGTCTAACAATGTCTTCTGGCTCTACACACATATTGCCCCCTTGGTTCATAATGGGCCCTATTCTTTCCCTGGTAATCCTATTCCCTTGATACACTTATAGAATATCTTGGGTTTCTCCCTAATTTTACCCATCAGAGCTTTTCAAGCCCCCTCTCTGCTCTCCTAATTTCTTTCTTACGTTGCCCCGGTACATTCTATTCTTTACTATACTGCAGAAAGTGAATCCTTTAGTTAATAATGCAAGTGTTTTTACATCCCTGTCCTGCCTGAATGTGCTTTGCCCTGGAATGTTGAATTGCCGATCCTGTTCCTCCCTACAACATGTCTTTCTGAAGGCAACAGCACTGCTATTCCACAGATTCCACTGGGCATGTATTCACTGCCATTTAGAAGACTGGGGAGTGTTCTGATTGTATCAGGGCTGGACAGTCTAGATGCAGGGAGGAGATGCCATCTAGGACAGAGACTAGGAAACATTTTTTTCACTCGAAGGTAGTGAACCTGTGGAATTCTAGAGGCCAAGTCACTGAATATATTCAAGAAAGAGGTTGGAAAGTTTTTAGACATTAAAAGCATCAAAGGTCATGGAGAAAGCAAAAGAGAGAAGATCAGCTCTGATTACATTGAATGTCAGGGCAGGTTTGAAGGGCCAGATGTATAACCCTGTACCTAGTTTGTATGTTGTGATGAACACATAAAGAAGTATGCAGAAAGCTGTGTATAGATTGATTGGTAGATAGAGAATAATGCGCACAATGTGAAGTTTTCACTTTAGTAGGAAAGACAAAACAAAAGCAAATATTTCTTAAGTAGAATGTTTGCAAAATTCCAAGGTGCAGCAGGACTTAGGGTTTCTGCTTCATGGGTTCGAAAAATATAAAGAAAGCTAACGGGAGAAATTGAACATCAAAGTAAGAACGTTTGGCACTTTTTGAATACTGTGTGCAGTTTTGATTTCCTTATTTCAGGACAGAGGTAAATACATTGGAGGCAGTTCAGATTGTAACGAGCAGGTTGTCATATGAGGAACGTTTGGACAGAATGTGCTTGTATCCACTAGAGTTTAGGAGAAAGAGGAGTGGTTTGATTGAAGTGTATAAATGATTCTGAATGGTCTTAACAATGTGCACACGGGAAGTATGTTTCATCTTGTAGGTCAGTCCAGAGCTAGAGACAACTGTTTCAAAATTAAGAGTTGCTTTTTAGGCACAGAATTGAAAGTTCTTTTTCTCTGAGGCCTGTGTGACTTTGAACTCTGACTCTGAAGATTGTGCAATCATCAGCAAACATGTTCAGAACCATTCATACTTATCAGATACTGATGCAGTCCACGTTCAAATGTAGCAAGACCTGGAAAGCAACCAGGCTTGGGTTAAAGGGGAATTCCATGCCATACAAAATGCCATTGAAATATGTAAGATTCTTAAGGAGCTTGACAGAGAAAAACTGAAAGGTTGCTTCCCCTCATGGGAGAGTCTAGAACCAGAGGGCATAGTCTCAGAATAAAGGGGCACCAAGTTAAGACTGAGATGAGGAAGAATTTCTCCTGTTGGATGTTTGAGAGTCTTTGGAACTCCTTGCCACAGAGAGCTGGGGGGGCAGAGTCCTTGTGTATATTTAAGGTTGAGATAGATAGATTCTTGATCAAAGATTATGGGGAAAGTGCAGGAAAGTGGGCATGAAGAGTGTTGGATCAGCTGTGATCCTATTGAATGGCAGAGCAGGCTAAAAGGGCCAAATGGCCAGCTCCTGTTCCTATTTCTTATGGTTTTATACAGATCTCCAATAAGTCAGAATATAATTCTTTGATATTCAGTAGCATTACCATCACTGAATCCCTGACTATCAACCCTGGGGGTTATCATTAGCTAGAAACTGGACTGATCTATTCATATTAATACAGTGGCTGCAAGACCAGGTCAGAAGCTGGGAATACTGCAGTGAGTAACTCACCTCCTGACTCCCCAAAGCCTGCCCACCCTCTACAAGGCACAAGGCAGCAGTGTGATGGAATATTCCCCACTTGCCTGGATGGGTGCAGCCCCAAAAACACCATCTAGGACAAAGCCTGTCCACTTGATTGGCACCACATCCACAACTTCCACTCCCTCCACCACTGTCATTCAGTAGCAGCAGGGTGTACCATCTGCAAGATACGCTGCGGTAACTCACTAAGCTACCTTTGACAGTACTTTCCAAACTCACACCCGCTCTCTGTCACAACAAGGACAAGAGCAACAGTTGCAAAGGAACACAACATACAAGTTCCCTTCCAAATCTCACACCATCCTGACTAGGAATTTTTTAAAAGCTTCATTCACGTTTGTGGGCATCACTGTCTGGACCAGCATTTATTGCCTGCCCCTAATTGCCCTTGAGAAGGTGATGGTGATCTGCCTCTTGAACCGCTGCAACCCATGTGCTGTGAGTAGACCCACAATGCCCTTACGGAGGGAATTCCAGCAACACTGAAGGAACAGTAATATATTTCAAAGTCAGGACAGTGAGTGGCTTGGAGACGAACTTGCATGTTGTAGTGTTCCCATGTATCTACTCAGATTGTCTTAGAGTCATAAAATCTTACAGCATGGAAACAGATCCTTCGGTCCAACTAGTCCATGCCAACAAAAACAGAAATTACTAGAAAAGCTCAGCAGGTCTGGCAGCATTTGTGAAGAAAAATCAGAGTTAATGTTTCGGGTCTGGTGACTCTTCCACAGATGCTGCCAGACCTGCTGAGCTTTTCCAGCAACTTCTGTTTTTGTTCCTGATTTACAGCACTCACAGTTCTTTCAGTTTTTATTTTGTCCAGACCAATTGTGTTCCAAACTAAACTAGTCCCATCTGCCTGCATTTGGCCTATATCCCTCCAAACGTTTCCTATTCATGTGCTTATCCAAATGTCTTTTAAATATTGTAACTGTACCTACTAGGGGAGGCAATGGCCTAGTGGTATTATCGCTGGACTGTTAATCCAGAGACCCAGGTGATGTTCTGGAGGCCTGGGTTCGAATCCTGCTACAGCAGATGGTGGAATTTGAATTCAATAAATATCTGGAATTAAGAATCTAATGACCATGAATCCATTGCCGATTGTCGGAAAAACCCATCTGGCTCACTAATGTCCTTTAGGGAAGGAAGCTGCCATCCTTACCTGGTCGGGCCTACATGTGACTCCAGACCCACAGCGATGTGGTTGACTCTTAACTGTCTTCTGGGCAATTAGGGATGGACAATAAATGCTGCCTAGCCAGTGACGCCCTCATCCCATGAATGAATAAAGGAAAAATAAATCCACCATTTCCTCTGGCAGTTCATTCCACACATGAACCACTCTCTTTTTAAAAAAAGTTGTCCTTCATGTCCTTTCTAAACCTTTCTACTATCACCTTAAAAATATGCCCCTAGTTTCAAACCCCCTCAACCTAGGGAAAAGACCCTTGCTATTCACCTTATCTACGCCCCTCATGGTTTTATAAATCTCTATAAGGTCACCCTTCAACATCCTGCGCTCCAGTGAAAAAAGTTCCAACCTGTTTTTATAACTCAAACCCTCCATTCCTGGCAACATCTTCGGAAATCTTTCCTAAACCATCTCCAATTTTAATAATATCCTTCCTTTAGCAGAGTGACCAGAGCTGCACACAGTACTCCAGAAAAGGCTTCACCAATGTCCTGTACAATCTCAACATGACATCCCAACTCCAATACTCAAAGGTCTGAGCAATGAAGGCAAGCATACTAACATCTTCTTAACCACCTTGTCTACCTGTGACGCACATTTCAAAGAATGGTGCACCTGAATCCCTAGGTCTCTGTGTTCCACCACACTACCCAGGCCCTATTAATTGTCTAAGACCTATTCCTTTGTTTTAAGCAAAATGCAATACCTCTCATTTATCCAAATTACGCTCGATCTGCCCCTCCTCAACCCATTGACCCAATTGATTGAGATCTCTTTGTAATCTTAGATAATCTTCTTCACCGTCCAATATACCACCAATTTTTGTGTTATCCACAAACTGACTGACCATGTCTTCTATATTCTCATCCAAATCATTTATATAAATGAAAAACAAAAGTGGACCCAGTGCCAATCCCTGTGGAACACAGCTGGTCACAAGTTTCCAGTCTGGAAACCTCCCTCCATCATCACCCTCTGTCTCCTACCATTAAGCCAATTTTGTATCCAGTTGGCAAACTCACACTGAATCCCATGTGATCGAATTTTACTAATTAGTCTACAATGCTAAACATAGAATCTAGGAGGAGGAGTAGTCCATTTGGCACTTTTAGCTTGCTGTGCCATTCAATATGATCATGGCTGATCCTTTGTCTCAATGCAATATTCCCACTTTCTCTCCATATCCCTCGTTGCCTACAAAATCTAAAAAAAACTATCTGCAGTAACTCACTAAGCCATATTCAACCTTGCTTTTCAAAGCTATGGTCTCTACCATGGGAAAGAAAGTGTTCATGGATTTGGAAGGTGCTGTCTAAGGAGCTTTGGTGAATTTCTGTAATGTACTTTGTAGCGGTTTTCACTGGTACTCATTGATTCCAGTTTTGCCAGGGCTCCTTGATCTGCATTGAAGCAAGTGCAGCCTTGATGTCAAGGGCAGTCACTCTCCCTTCACCTTTGGAATTCATGTTTGGACAAAGGAATAAGGACCAGTAGCATAAAAGGGCTCGCAAAAACAAAGGGTGTCTTCTGATTTGGTGTCATTAAGCAAAGCTGGAATCCCACATTAGCAGAGTCTTCACCACTCAAACAATGGCAGGTTTGGACAAATGTGAAGTGTGTGATGTGTACGTGTTCAGCCCACAAGCTAGGGAGGCGGCAAAATATTGTAAATAATTCAAGTCAGCCAATGAATGTGGAATAATAATTCCTTTATTAAAGATAGGTCAGCAAGAACATGGAATTGTCCAGTTGTTTATCGTATGCAGTAGGGTCAGCAGAAAGGATTTGCATTTTAGGAGATGCTGAAATTCAGGACATGATGATCAGAGGTCTCCACCGGAAGTTTCTCACTTTGGTATTCAGATGTATCCAGGGCAACTGTCCCACCCTCCTGCTACCCAACTGTCCAATCATTGTACACAAGACATGAAATCTGCGCTGATACTGTGTGGTTCTGGAGTCTCTGTCCATCCTGCAAGCTCAGTTATTGAACAATACTTGTAGTAATCTGTACCGACAAATATGAAGGTACCACTAGTGTTACACATGGCACCATCAACATGGGAATGACCAATCCGGAACCCATCACCTAGATGTCTGGGTGTCTGTTCCAGATTGATACTCTGCACTTGATTACCTGCAACATCACACAGGAAGAAAGGTTAAAACAAACAGATATTTTTTTTAAACCGGCAACTTTCATAATCTCAGAATATTGCAAACAAATTACTTTAGAAGTACTTTACAGAGTAGAGTTCCTCTTGTAATGTTTGAAATGGAGCAGCCAATTTGCACACAGTGAGATCCCAGATAGAATAATCTCCTTTAAGTGTGAACAAGGCTGTGTAATCCTTCCTTAAATATGGTAAGGATAAAGTCACCATAGCCCAACTGGAGCATATGGCTGCTCTCTCATTAGCCAGAGACAACTCCAGGAGGTTTGGCCCAATGGTCCCCAATGCTCAAGTGAAGGAGAATCCTTCACAGTAACCTCAGCCAGTGCAGGTATTGAACCCACACTGTTGGTGTTATACTGCAGTGCAGCCAAGTGAGCTAACAATGTTGGCTTTGTGTGTACCCCAATGCCCTCACCAGCATCCAAAATGGAAGAACTGTTAGTGAGCAGGATTTCTGGGGTACTCCTGAGGTACTTGTGTGGGTACCCTGGACTGCCTGGCTGTTACCCATTAGCTTTCTCCCTGCATGCTGTCAGCCAATGGAGTCAGCACTTGTCTGAACCTATGGCCCATGTAGCTGTCAAACTGGGGAATGCATCAACAACAGCTGCTGGAAAAGCTCAGCAGGCCTGGCAGCACCTGTGAAGGAGAAAACAGAGCTAACGTTTCGGGTCCTGTCAGTTCTGAGGAAGGGCCACCGGACCCAAAACGTTAACTCTGTTTTTCTCCTTCACAGATGCTGCCAGACCTGCTGAGCTTTTCCAGCAACTTCTGTTTTTGTTCCTGATTTACAGCATCCGCAGTTCTTTTGGATTTTATGGGGAATGCATCAAAGTGGCTTCTGGTGTCGCTCAAGGTCCAAAGCCGGAGTTCATGTTTCTGCAGCTGGGGACACTGCCACATATGGCAATCTCAGTCACACTTCATATCAACGAGAGGACACGCTTCCCGTGCAGCAGAGCTCCCTGCCATGCCTGAGAACTTTATCCTTTGGGTACACTCTGTGGCCAGAAGGCATCAGGAAGACATTTTCTTTAAGTTTGATTTTTTTTTTCAATCCATTATCCTTCATTCTTTCATCATCTATAAAGACCGACTATATCTCAGTAATTGACTCTCCGACAGTGCGGCACTCCCTCAGCACTGACCCTCCGACAGTGCGGCGCTCCCTCAGCACTG